GTGTTTTGAGATGAATTATTTGATGTTAACCATAGAGATATAACAGTAGCCAACACGATGCCACCTAATAGGACTCCCATTAGCAGAAATAGACAAAATAATGATTGGCATAGATCATATTTGTCTAGCATCGATAATATTCTGCTTCTGAAACACCAAAGCATTGGTAGAAAATTACTCTCAAGATAGACTATCAATTGGACTAACCTTTGTCGATCATTGCTGTTCTCAGTTTGTGTGCCACGGTGTTGTTGAAGGGTACCAGATGAAGTTTTACTGGCCGATTCACTCCGTAGGCTTATTACCCTAAGTGAACGATTATACTGCAAGGTTTTGGATTCCGATGTTTCACAATCAATCCAATGTAAACATTTCGTATCCCAATTGCTCATTATTGGTTTTTCTTCTCTTTTTCTAAAAAGATTCTAAGAAAAAATTGAGATGAGTATTTTCTTTCCCGAGTTTAAGTTGACGAAAGGCTCAAAAAGAATAGTATCGTCCATCTTTGAAAAATATCGCAATCGATTTTGATTTCTTATAATTTCAGTTTTGTTAAGAAAATAGATCTCATAATCGCAAATGACAATGGTAGGTATTTTCTCATAAACACAGCTTCTGATTTGCAGAAAAAAATGTACCACGAAATCGCCTTCATAATTAGCTGTAGAATATTCTTTGACTTTGTATTTATTTATTTATTTATGTCAAAAGAAGGATCCTTTTTTTTCTCTGCTCTATTCCGAAGTCTCACATTATTTCATGTTGTGAATATGAAACGCAGATTAGTGCAATATATGAATAGTGCTTACTGATACTAATATACGTGTGCTCGGTATTTTCCATTCTATTTCTCAAACGTGCCTATAGCTTTGGTTACAGTTTGTCTCAAGAAAAAGGGTGTCTTGTAGATCACAAAAAAAACTATTTAGCATTCAATGCATACAAAAATATGCGAGTAGAACTTTCTCAAGTATGAGTGTTGAGCTCTAAATAGAAGTATATACTTGAACAATTCAATAATGAATTGATGAAAGCTAAGGCTTTGTTTGCTCTTTAAGCTTAGAAACGGATTGAGCTTTCCACGCTAAGCGGTAGAAATCCTTTCTCACCACTTCTTTTATGCATGTCATATTATAAATATTCTTCCACGAAACAAGTGTTCTTTACTTGTTATGCTCTAAAGTTCACAGAGAAATCGTCATATTAGATGTTGCAATTCACTGTTCGTTACGTAGAACATGTTACATATAGCAGCAATAGTATGTTTTGTAGAAAAGTAAGCAAAGAAAGTGCATAATTCTTGAAAAAAAAATCACTCTTCTTTCTTCGTATGTCAGAGTCGGAAAAAAGGCATACTTATCAAAGAGTTTTATTTTTTTGGACTTTGCAGAAAAAAATGGCACCTTCTCAGTTTTTTTGACCGTTAATACTAAAATACAGATGAGACGAGTTTTTCCACAGTTTGACACGATAGCAGAGACATTTTGTCACAAAATGAAAGGTATTTGAAGTCCAAGAGGTGTCCAGTTAGAAAGGGAACGCCATTTTTAAATTTAAAACTCTAAAAGTCGAGAATTTCAAGCAAAAGTTAATACAAAAAGTGTATTTGTTTTGTTACAATGACATTTTCTTTCTAACTGACTGCTCTCTAGATTTTAAAAATCTTTCATTATGTGGCAAAAATTATTGATTATCGTGTCAAACTGTGAAAAAATCCCTTTCATCTGTAGTTTTGTTTTTACAGTCAAAAGCCGAGAAGATGCCATTTTTTCTGCATAATCAAAAAAATAAGATTCTTTTACAAGTATGCTTTTTTTTCGAATCTGATATATGAAATAAGAAAAACTAACCTCACCTTCGGATAGATCGCAATGAAATGCACATTTAGATTCTCATGTATTACATAAAGAGGAAAAGTAAAGACATGTGAAATGAACAAGCTAAGAATTGGTTTATGCTAATATTTTGTCTACAATGTATTATTCTTGTTCACATCCGTTGAAGATGGCTATATTGCTACTTATGATTCTGTAATATGAATATAAATCTAAATGAGTTCTCTTGTGCTAAAACAAGTATTGTATAAATGAAGCATTAACGGGTAAAAGTAAAAATTGAATTGGGAAACCACTTATGAGAAAGAGCAGGGAAGAAACATATATCTTTAAATGATATATTTTCGAAAATCCAAAGAAAATGATACACGATGAGAATCTGAGAAGAGATTCATCTCTAATCAGTCATGATCAAATTGTCAAAGGATGACTTTTCATGAATGTTTCTGAGAACAACATAGGGACAGATTCACCATTGTCTTACACATTTATTAGGTACTCGTTAATCATATGGTTATTGGACACAAAACATTACAGATGAATTATCTAGAAAGACTAATATGTCTCATTTACATCTGCATCGATCAAGTGTGTCAATATCAATACTTGGCGAAGTTTAGACATTCTCCGATGACAACACTGAGTTTAAATTTTGAATGTGATTATAACAGATCACAACATTTGAAAACTTCCGAAAATCTCATTTGAATACAGGGATTCATGAAGAAGAACATAGAAAAAATGAAGTTTAAAGAATTTGAGAAGATTCTATTCAACAACACTGTTCAGAATGTGAAGACAGTGAATGATTGAATCGATAATTTTTGGAAGAGTACTTGCATTGAGCTTGCAACATTGAAAATGGAGAGGGAAATGGGGTCGTATATGACTTAACGGTGAAAACAATAGCCAACTTTGAAAAAGAAGATCTGATAGGTGTGGGTTTGGATGACGAGTTGAATCACATCCATACTCCTAGAGTGTACTTATTTAAAAACTTTTAAGATGCAATTTATAGATATTGTTTTGATGTTATTTAATCAACTGAGCAGCACATAATGCTTAACATTTACAAAATGAAAGAGAAAAGTGTGAAGAGGAAGTTCCAGCCAATTTTGAACTTTCTAAGTGTATATGAAACGATTTCCAAATGATATCTATTATTCTATGTATTTTTGTTGATATGTCCTAATTAGCGACAACTTTTACAGTATAGTGTTTAAACACAGGTCCGCCCACTTTTTGCAGAACATTCTGCCAGCACGATTTCACTATTTTATTTTTGTAGGCCTCGGCGAGTTATGTAGGAACTGATATTTAGTTTTGATTCATATAATGTGCTAATTCCAGTAGAGCAGGCTAAAACGTCGATTTTATCGAAAATTGGCCACCACAAAAATAGTCTGTTGTATTTTTCAGGAACATTTTTTAGAAATTTTGATTTCACTACTAGATAGTGCATAGAAAGTTGTCTATATAAAATAGTTTTCAAAAATATATCTCGAGAATTCATTGTTTGGGAACATTTGCAAAATTGAGAAAAATGGGATTTTATGGTGAAATTGTGATGCTTATAAAATTTACACAATCAGTTAAAGACCCTAGTATATTTGGATCAAAATGACGCTTATGCTATGCTTATTCAAATACGAATGTGTCAGAATTTTTGAAAGTTTTCATTGGTTCGGATATATGAATCTGCAGAGTCGAAGGGTCTCAAAAAACTTCACATTGGGCTTCGGTTTTGTCAAAAACTACAGGTCAGAATTTCGCAACATTTTTTTTTCCGACTAGATCATCATAGGTACTAGTAGTGATTGAAATATGAGACTTCTCATTTCAGGATTGTAGGGGTTGGAAAGCTTTCAAGTTAGCCTATATTTAGTACTTTTCGTAAGATCCTTGTAGGGGACCCCAGGTAGTCGAAAAATCGAACTCTCAAGGTTNCCGTTTTACCCATAGGGTTTCTTGTGGGAAAACAACGAATAAAGCTTGAATACGTAGAAGAACAGAGAAGAACGAATATAGAAAGTACGTCTTATCTGTACCGATGAAGCGTGAGGAATGAATACGAAAGTCTTGAAAGTTAGTAAATACTAATAATGTATAATATGTGAGAAATAGTCATTATTCAAAGAAAAAGATTTTGTCAGAATTTTGGAGAAAAAGATGCAGTTTAAAAGATACTGTTTGATCTACTAGACGGTGAATTACGACTAAGTAATGTATACATTATTACAGAATATTTTTCAAATATTTACATGTATTGAAAGAAAATATTAGAAACTCAACTGTTAAAACATCGATAGGTGCTTTTTGAATACAAATTTAGATTTTCTTGTTATAATTTTTCCTCCACTTCTCTTGATAGACTTATTGAAGCAGAAGCAAAATTTTTGTAAAATGCATTTACTTTCTATATCTATTTATGTATATATATCATTTGAACATATATATCATTTGTACTTCTGTGCTGCTTCCTTTGTTCTCTCTGTTACTTCTGTGTTAGATGACAAAGACAACTGTCGACCAATAGAAATGAAGCAATGGAAAAAATTATATATAAGCGCCGCTGATGACAGAAAAAAAAGATTATATATATATATATAATGTCATATAGTGGAAATACGATAGTGTCTACATATAATTATATTTTAAAATAAATGTATACAGTTCTTTTTTTCTTTCATAAATAATTAAATCACGAAAATTTTAGTTCTTTTTTTTTAAATTGAAACCTTGGTAACTATGTTAGTCATTTTTTAAAATAAAGTTTGCATATAATGTATATCAACAATTGAAATATGCACTATAAGAACTTATACTATAATAAACCTTGATTCGAGGTAAATGTAGTATTCTTTGTGATATCACAAAGTGAATTTATAGATATATGTTTCTTTCGATCACTTTCCATGGATGTATATAACACTGGAGATATACATACATGTAATCGCATTCTCTCTATGTCTCTCTCTCTCTCTTTGTTATTTTAATCCGTCGAGATATACCATATTATTACGTTTTAGTCTTTTCTTTTTCCTATAAATAGAGATACATTTCGTGAACACGCATACACTTTCTTCTTACCATTATTTAATATACATACACATATCATTGTTTATTTTTTTATTTGGTAATCTGCTGCTGTCTGCTATTTATCTTATGGCTCCTAAACGAAAGACTGTGCGAAACGATAATGTTCCACGACAAGTTATGAAATGTATTGGTAAACGAGTTGCTAGTATCAACAGAAATGATGAAACAACAATTGATGCTATGTCATCATTAAAAAAAAAACAAATGAAGAAGACGATTAAAACAAAACCTATTGTGAAGAAAAATAAGAAAGCCAATAATGAAACCATTACAGAAAATAGTAAGTTGGCATTGCTTATTTTATTTTTCCTATGTATTAATATACGAAACGTTTTTGCAGGTTCAGTGGATCAAAGTGTTAAATCAATGAGTGTTGATTCACTTATTAATATCGATTCAATTGAAGTAGAATCTGCTTCAATGAGTGAATCTTCTATTTGTCGAAGTCCTCAACTTCAATTAAAACCTTCAACACGCCTTTCCATCAACACGAACGATGATGAAGATGATGAATTTCATAAAATGTTTATGTCTAATACAGCCAAAGTTAAGAACAATACTAGTTATAGTTCAACACCTTTGTGTATTTCAAGAAAAAGTGATAAGTATGCACTGCTTATTGATAGCTATATATTCCATATTTCAAATAATTTAGAAATGTTCGCACAACTAGTGATTCATCTTCATCATATAATGTGAAAGATACTGCACTTAGTCGATTATCCTATTCAAATACTGATCATTGTTCAAAAATATCAGATCTACCTGTGAAAAGCGTACAAACTCCCACAAATTGTAGTGTGCTTAGTGTTTTACCACAAATTCAAACATCATCTTCGATCCGGTCTTTATCCAGTGTTCAAACAAAATCGAACAATCTTGTAATTTTGGAAACATTTCCAGAATATCGTGATCTGAAACGAAATTTTGAACGTGTATCAAAAGAAAATGAAGCTTGGCTTGAAGATTACAAAGCATTAACATTAAGAATGAAACAGCTTCAACAAACTTCATTTCGTATATAGAAATTTTTTCCATTTCATTCATTTTGTTTTATTGTCTTTTTCTTTAGCTCGACCAAGCGTTGATGGACGTTTATTTCTTGAGCAATTTTTACATTCATTAAAGACCATTGAAGCTGATGAAGACAGACGAACAAATGCTGAATTAGCCGGTGATTTAGGTTTATCAGAAGCGACGTTAATGTCATTATCAAATATTGATCCACAAAAAGCTTCATTACGCGTATTTAATGCTCTATTTCCTACGAATAAAGATAAAGAAGATTTAAAAAATGTGGCTTATGTTACCACAGAACATCCAAATTTATTAGACGATATACTCGGTAAGTTATGTTGTACATCTTTTTTCATGGAAAAGGAGGAAAAAAATATGATAACTTGAAGATTTTCATTGAATGAATACCAAAATTTGGTTGTAGTTTTCGCACGACGTTGCTCTCCAGGATGTTCCTATACAATGGCAATGTTAAAGGAAGCCATCGGAAATTCAATTCGTTGTGCTCGACATAGTGTGAAAAAAGCCAACACGCAACAAATAGCAGCAGCAGCAGTTTTTCAACTACAAATGAATCACGAAAACAACGATATGGATAACATATGATAAATGAATATTGCTTTAGCTGAAGTAAGTTTAGCGAATACTACATTACTTTTTCTCTGCCTATATTTTTTAGGTTTTATCTAAATTTCATCGTATGTAATTAAAAAAAACAAGTTGTGAACTTATTTGTAAATATTAATAACATGACGTTTCTTTAAATTTTGTCTTTTGTACTTAACACTTCCTCCTTTAATACTATTTGTTGTTTATATTTATTTATTACTGTCAGTGTTTATTTTTCCAATGTATATTAAAGATATTAATATGATCATTTTTTTTTCGTTTAAATCTCTCTTAGTTTAATACTTTTATTATGATTCATGAAGTGTTCATATGTTAAAGTGTGTAAATAAGTACGTGTCATTGAAACTCATTCGAACTGAAATAAATAAAATAAAATTACAACAACATAATAAAAGTTATTCTCTTTATTATATATACGTACATGGATTTTTTGGATAAAAATTGATAATCAATGGAGACAATCTAGACATAGAACATAAAATCTTTTAGATATCAATAAATTCATTAGATATATATTATTAGTTTTAATCAGAAGAGTTATCTTCTATCCTCGTATCGTGATTCTATTACTTATTAAGTATTAGTCACGTACTATTTTTGTTATTGGTGCTTATATTTCAAACGCTGGTATTGTCTTATTCGATCATATCTATTAGTTCTTTTTTCTCTTTTGATACCAAGTTATATTTTAAGTTGGTTAGGTTTAACTGATTGTAGCTAATTAAAAAAAGAGAAGTATTTCTTTACTGAAGTAAAATAACAAGTTGTGCATAGAATTCAACCGAAGGATATAATTCATCACTATGTCTTCACTACGAAAGAGAATATCTCGGTTTAATCAGCGATTAGCACACTCATATCGGCGACATGTAGCCTTGCAATCTATAATTGATACTTTCAGGTGAGGTTGGTACAAATTTAGTTATTGAAACAATATTATGATTTATAATTGTTAGTTATGCTGGTGCACGTGTTCCAGTAGCTGACGCATCTTCATCATTATATTCTGCATCTGATATTCCATTTTCATTACATTCATTACCATCACCAAATGTACCCAACCTTTCACCATCCAACAGAAGTCGTTCTCGTTCTACTTCTTGTTCGTCAATATCATCGGAATATTCTTGTAGTTCGAATAATTTTTCTACCTGTTCGATTGACGATGATGATTTTAATTCAATCAATATCGATGTTATAGACGATGTTTGTGCACCAATGTCTTCCAATTATGAATTAGAAGATATTGCAAAACCTTTAACCTCAAAAGAGATTGCTGTTTTACTTGTTGAATTACGCTATCGGCATTCGCTCACACGATCGTGCATTACACATATTTGCGAATTATTACAATTATTACGGGTGCCAAATGCTCCACTTAATTTTACTAATATCGAATCTTTAATTCTTTGTGCATATCGATCAACTACATTTCCAAGTAAAGCAGTTATATGTCCCTCGTGTTTCAAACGATCGTCGAGATCAAAAATGTGTACCGGTACTGCGAATTGTGACTCTCAATCTTCATTTGTTCGAGTACCTACAATCAATTATACCTTCGCACTAGAACCACAAATTAGATCAATAATTGAACGAAATCCAATTATGAAAAGAAAACCTAATAAACAGATGCTTTCGGACATTACCGACGGCTTAGTATATGAAAAGATACTTGAAGTGGAACAACAGCCATTCTTAACTCTACTGCTGAATTCGGACGGTGGTTTAGTAAAATCAACTTCGGCATCTGTTTGGATAACCACATTGGTCATTAATGAATTACCACGGAAATTAAGATATCTTCCAGAAAATGTTGTACTCGGAATGTTAACAATAGGTGGCATGAAACCAAAAAAAACTGAAATGTCCGAAATTATGTTTGATATGGTTAATGAATTGCGTCGTCTTGAAGACGGAATGGGTGTTTATTTTCGTCATGATAATGGAAATGATTCAGAACAAATGATAAAAATATTTTTACTGGCTTGTACTTGTGATAAACCTGCCACTTCACTTTTATTGAATCATAAAGAATCCACCGGCTTCTATGGTTGCACATATTGTACAATAAAAGGTGATCTCAAGCAAGCAGAAACATTAAAAAATATTCACTTATGATAGTTTAAAAAAGATTTTTTCTTAAATACTTGATGGAAGAAATAATAGAAAATTAGCGATCTTTTACATATCTTCAATTTAATCATTTGACTTTTATTTTCGTTCAGCATGATTAAGTTCATAATTGTTTTCATTTCACTTTTGGTTATTATAGGTAAATCAGTTAAAGCGGGTGGAACCACCATTCGTTCGTTTGTTTTCAATTCAAGAGAAAAAATCATGTTAAGATCGAATGAAACATATGATAAAGCAATCACCTTCTTTGAAAATGTTTGTTTCTTTTTGTTTTTCAAAAATTTTATTAAGCATGTGTTTAGAATCATAAACTGCCAAACTGTGACAAAGTTCTTTCAGAAGAAGCAAGTATTGCATATTTAAAAGGTCTTAAAGGAGCATGTGTATTTCGACAATTATCACATTTTGATGTTTATAAATCTTTCTTATGTGATACTCTTCATAACTTGTATCTTGGTGCAACAGTAAGACTTTCTTTTATTACTCTTCAACCTTCTACTATATTTTATGTAGGCTAAAATGTTAAAATTGCTTCTTTCGAAGCCATCTTTGAAAGCTGGTATTACCAATGTAATGAGTGTTCATGATCAAATTGATATTGTTGCAAAAACCTTCAATACAATATCATATCCATCAACAACCTATCGTCAACCGAGAGACATTCGATTATTCAGAAAATTCAAAGGGAATGAGTTTAGAATATTTCTTCTTTTCGGTTATTCGTGAGTTTCTTACTTTATAAATATGTTATATTCTTCATTGTCGTATAGAGTATTCGAAAATATACTTGAAACAGAACGTTATCATCATTTAAAAACGTTGGCGTTTCTTGCTCATTTAGTGGAAAGTCAATATTTGTCCATCTCTGAACTTAAAGACATTGAATTCTTAGCTACTTATTATGACAAAAGATTTGCCTCTCTCTATAGTGTAAAACAAGATAACTGTTTTTTTTTTACAATTATTTTTTCTAATTAGGAACGGCACACAGTATCCGTAATCCATTCAATACGTCATTTCTACGACTGTGTATGTAATTATGGACCTATGTTTAACTATTCTACATTTTCATTTGAATCGTCGATGGGTCTGTTGCTGATTCTTTCTTTAAATGATATACTTATATACATATACATATAGCATCATTCCTTCGAACAGTTCATGGTAAATCAACAACGGCAGCAGAGTTGATAAAGAACATAGATCTTTATCGACAATCATCACTCTTTGCTTCTTCCTCAACATTTTCGATGACAGGCAGAGAATACATTTGCCGAATTTCATCATCGCGTCGTCAAATTACATCTATCGATATTAATGTTACACCTAAAGTGAAGCTTTATAAAAAAATTTTATCATCGTCATCTAATCTCATTTCTTTATGGCCACATTCGATTCGTTCTAACATTACACTATACAAAACTTTATTTCTTAATAATTTGAGGTTTAGTGCTGATGATTTCACTATGATTCAACATACAAATGATGCTTGTGTTCTGTACGAATCAAGAGAAAACCAGTACTCGATTGGATTTATTTTATGTATTGGTCATGTAGTGGACAAAAACGAAATTTATTTTCTTTTAAATCGAGTAAAAATTACTTCTGCTGCAGACATACTCAATCTGCGAGAAAAAACGTTTAAATGTAACAATATTATGCAAGGTACAGTCCTTTCTGATTCAACTGTTATAATTGATCCATCTAATGTCGTTCAAAAATTGGCTTTTCGACCAACTTACAGTTCAATCCAGTCAAAATTGAGTACATTTATTTTTTTCCAATATCCAAATGTTAAGGAATCCTCATAAGTTATGCTATTCGTGAAAATAAACATTTTACAATCAACTGCTTAATTTTTAGTCTATTATTTTAAGATATTTTAGAGTTTCTAAACATTACAAATTCTCAGGATTCAACTGATCTCAGGTTGTCTACACTTACATCTGCTTGTGGTAGATGATAAACATATATATCATTTTCTTGAAGCGTTTTGCGTGAAGTTCAGCGCAAACATTTGAGTAAATATAGTCAATATACTGAAAAATACAATTTATGCATTATAAATGGTCAAAATGATTCATTTGTCGACCAAAATGCATTTTAATGGCTATTTTACCATTATTCACTTGATTAAAATGCATTTTAATGGTCAAAATGGTGCGTCAACCAATAATAATGCATTTTAATGACCATTATCCCATTATTCTTTTGACTGGGTGGCGACGAAAAGAACGCGACGAATTGAGTGGCGACGAATTGACATAGTGCCCATATTATAACAAACAGTTCTTTGTCGAAATTTTACAATTATGATAGTAGTTGAATAATGTTGAAATAGCATAGAAAAAATAGAACATTGTTTTCTCTATTACTATATTAAAAAAAAGAAAATTTCTACAAGCTTTCTATAAGGAAATAAAATCATAACGATACTACTTTTGGATTGTCCTAAGTAGTTTGAAAACTACAAAAAAAGCTAAAATCTTATGTTTCTTTAATCTTAGGTGAGTTAATAGCCATTCAAACCGGTCAGATTAGTATATCATAGTCAACAGGTGAACAACAAGAGCCATGTACTTCATCTGCTTTTAATAATTAACAATGAAAACAAATTCATTCACCTTCATCAGAATCTTTTCTATTATTTTCTTCATCATCAAATACACCAGTGTCTGATATTACTGATACTATCAGTCGTTTAACTGATGAATTATCAACACGACTAATACTTGCTTTTTAAGAGATTTTTGCGTTGAGTATGAAAAGATAATTGTTGCTTTTGTTATTCAACATAAGAACAGCTGTATAATGCTGAAATAGCTGTTTACGTTTTTCCTTTTTTTTCTCTTTTGCTACTTAATTTCACGTAATAAAATAACAAATACATTGCTTTGTTTCTCTCTTTAGGGAAACGAAAATTGGAAGACTCAATTGAACTTCAGGAAAAATTTTCAATATTGTGAATAACGTTTTTTTAAAGATTGTGGAGCACCGCCCGGGTACCCATAATTTCCTAGTTACACCACTAGTTATACATGGTAATCAAGTAGCTCGTGTTGATGTCAATATTACAACTGCTCGAGATACAAACATGATATGGTCATTTGGTACCCAAGATCAAGGTGAATCATGGTATTTTGCTTTGATTGACTCATATGCAGACGTCAATCACAATGTAAAAATTTTTTTTTTTGTTTGTTATAAAAATTAATAATATTTTGTTTGCTTTATATAGATTATTATCAAAGGAACTATTACTGCACAAATGCCAGGCTATTATGCTATCGATGATATTGATATTCGTGAGTTATTGTGAAACCAGTCCAAATGTAAACGCTTTAACAACACTCCAATCAGTAACTCGACCAAGAACACTATTTTAAAGTGTGTTTATTTATTAAAATTAAAATCTTGAAAAAAAACTCTATTTTC